TATATATATATATATATATATGTGTATATATATATATATATATATATATATGTATAAAATTGACAACCCTGAGCAACCACTTCAAAAGACGGTTGAATAACAGAGTTTCTTAAGCCAAAGGCTTTTCCACATCTGCTGCGAGACATAATGTTACTGCAAATCCTTCCTGCCTACAGCTATTAAAATCCACAAAAACTGGAAAAATAAGTTAAAACAGCTTTTTTTCTTTATTTCCTTTTGAATACAGTATTTTCGAAATGAATTATATGCATTAATGTACTTTTACATTACAGGATAACACTAAGTATAAGTTGCAAGCTTAGCTATAGACCCTTTTTCAGTCTACATCATGGTTGCATCAGAGTGTTGGCTTGAGGCAAAACAATCTGACAAGCTGGATGCGACCAATAAACCAGCACAGGGTCATCTACTGTACACATGGAAGCTTAAATAGTTTTTTTGTTTTTTATTTTGTTTTGTTGGTTGCCTGAATCAACAGAGTACAATAAGAAGTTTTATCCCATCCTGCTTTCGGTAAATTAAGGTACATAAAATATTATCTTTTGTTGGTATGCATTTTGGATTTCTTAAGTAACATTAATCACCCAGTGATGAAAGTGTAGTTTGCTGTACAGATCTAGCTGCTTCTTCTTTTTAAACTGACCCAAGCCTACTACATGGTTATCTTCTGGTCTTAGCACAGGTACTGTAGCTAGAACTTCGGATCAATCTGTTTTCCAGTTAGCTAGGTGTAGGTATCACACCACAAGCCAGAGTTAATCCTATTACTTTGTCCATTCATTGCATTGGTGTGTACGACTCAGCTAAGCTTGTTCCATCCTTTAAAGTTAATTTAAAAAAAAAAAATCCTTGCGCCAGACAGTAAATAACCCTAGGCAATATATTAAGGTAAAACCAAATTTTCTAAAGCTGTATTTTTAAAAAAGCTGACAAAACTTACTAGATACTGAACCTGAACCGCTCTGCAGGAATCTTTCTGCCCCCAGCTAGGCTCCGCCCACAGAAATATGTCACAATGTTTACCACCTGAAAAAGGGTCTATAGAGCACCAGAGGGCAAGTGACCTGTAATGTGTGATTATATACATTTTCAGGCAAAGACTAATATTTTTTTCTTAGACATTCCTATAACAAAGTTAAATGGGCCAATCCCCATGCAAATCTTGAGTAATTAGGCTCTAACCATGTGCACCGGATGTGAAATGCCTATTTTTAGCCAATTTAGTCATTACAAGTGGGAATTAATGAGAAAGTGATATTGTTTTACCTACCAACCAGATTATTATTTTTTTTTTTTTACCTTTTCTGGGGTTTTTTTTCACTCAACTATAGCCCTTCACTACACGGCTGGATCAGAATATCTGAAGCAAAATTTTTTTGCTGCTGTCACACTATTCACTATATCATTGTGTTTGATTGCTCGTTAAAATATGCGTTCTGTGCAGATCCTATTATGCAGTAGTTAAGCACATATTCTGTAGCATCAAGCCCATCAATGACTTATGAGCTTGGGCTTGCTTTTTAAACACTCTTGCTCAGAATAGTTATTTTGTGTTTTTGGTTCCACTACAAAGAAAAAAAAAAAAAAAAAAAAAAACTCAAGCACATCAGGAAATCACTTCAGGTACGTGGTTACCCAAACTGTGTATTTGTCAAGTCTGCCAAGAAAACCAGCAGGCAGAACTGCTTTTAACAGGAAAAAAACAAAGATGCAAAAACACAGCAGTTTCATGTGTCAGGAGTTTCTGAGTGGCATGCTTGTTGATTTAAAACCTAATATGCTTCAGAGAGAACTCTAAAACCAAAGCTGAGTGGTATCATGAATGTGTTGTAGTGACACAAGGCCTGCTTGGACTTCTACATCAGAAAAAAACAACTACATTCACTTATGGCACAATTCAGGAGAGCTAGCAGCTTTGGGAAAGATCCAGCGGTACACATGCACCTTTAAAGCGAAGGACAGGCTTTGATTACCACATTGTTCAGGTCTTGGACAGATGGTTTTAAAAGAGGAGTAAAGGAAAAAATCTTTATCAAAAGTCAACACTGAAAAGAGGGGTAGAATTGAAGATTCAGCTCTCTAGCATACAGTATACCACTCTCTTAAAACCCATTATAATTAAGCTTACATCTCACTATAGTTCCGATGACCAAGTACATAATTCCCACTTAATAGCTGACTCCAACAATTTAGGAGAATTGTAGGGGGTTATTGACTTGAATCTGACTTGGAATGCCTTCTTCTATCCTTACACCTCCATTATGATATTCTTCATTTTTCATCTTTGTTGATAAACACAACAGCTTCTAATTTTCTCAGCCTCATGGTCTATTTTTTATTTTTTTTTTGGTGACTAAAATATAGACTATATAGTCTTAAATTCATAGAACAGCACTGCAAGAGCGTCATTTATCTTTCCAAACAAAGAAAAGAAAAAACAATACCGGTAGTATTAGCCCTATTCGGTATTGTGAAAACAAAAAAAGATTATAGCTTTGCAATCAAATCATAATCTTGTAGAATGCTGTAGCTTACTTTTAAAATAGTTTCCATTGCATTGATGCCTACTCGTGGCTCATAACTTAATGTGAAATAGATATTGATGTTAATTTTTCTCATTGATGGGTTGTATTTTTTTTTGTTTCAAATGAATGAAAATTTTCCTTGTTTCCCTCTGCCGACACAGTGTTGCATTTTAATCTCTTAGTGGCTTTTCCAGCTGTACCCAATATTCTGGTCAACTTTACAGGGAAGAGTATGCCACAGGTCTAAAGTTTATTACACCGTACTACATTTAGAAGTAGATACTTCTTTACATTTTTAGTGCCTCATCACCCAAAAATGACTCATTTGATTATAAGAGTTGCTCACAATCTGCTGATTGTGTTGATATTTATTGACAAAGCGAAAGGATTTCTGTTGATGTATATATTTGTGACACCTGATGATTAAGAGCTCCCGCTTATTCGCCATGTTTTTCCTACCTGAGGTGTCCCTATACTTACAAATTTCCGTTTTAAAAATCAGGCCATGCAGTTTCTACACAGAGAATCATGAATGCTAAAATGAAGTCATTTTGCCACAACAAGCAATAAAGTAATTAATCCTGAAACAAAAGATGGTGTGCTAAGCGGTATAGTTACCCACCCTCTTTCAGAACAGTATAGTTTAGAGTTAATTTTAAAACTTATTTGCTTTTTTTCTATTCCATTTCTATTTTGACAAATAGATTAAACATATTAAGTATATTTGAACTGAAGTGCATTTAAGCTAATGAATAAAGTTGATAATTACTCTGTGGTAAAAGAACCCACTGGCCTTGCCATCACTCTTGCTGCAGTCTGACCTCAATTAACCCATATAAACCTTCTCTGGCATGTGATTACGACTGCTTACTTGTCTAGAGAATGCTTCAGGTTTTAATGCACTTCTCTTGTAGATATGTGACCTTAAACATCTCATTAAATTGGTGGATGGTTTCTTTGAGACTGCTGGAACATCTCACCTGTCATTTAAAATTGTTTATTTAGTTTACATTATAGAACTCTAAATAGATGGACATAGAAATAACTGGATTACCTTATATGGGACAATATGAGCCTATATGAAACAGCATTGCTAATGTAGAAGTTAACTTGCAACTTAATCATAAACAAACGTTTGACACTTCACATGAGCAAACTGAAACCCGATTCTTTCTCTGTTGTTTAGTGGTAGTTTTAGAAGGTAACTGGTGTGCCTTAGTTGAAGAAATATACACACTGTTGGTTTTCAGAGTTAAACAAAAAAGGAAGACAGCAAATTTAATAGCTCAGGAATTTATTTTTCACCTTTTGTAGTTGGAACAAAAGTTGCATGTTAGCATTTGAGTGAAACCCGGCATAGCCATGATCATGCTGGAATGGCTTTGCAGCAAGTCTCAGACAACATTTAAGTTTAACAACAAAACCTTTAACTTCCATTTCTAGAAAATGCATGAAAAAATACAGTTTGCCAATGCATCCCAGATGATAAAGGTTGAATAAAATGAAAAAAAATTATAGGGAAAAATGAATGACCAAAACAGGACTTATTCTGTAAACTCCGTTCGCAATTTTTGTTTTATTAAGCAGAAAAAAGGCTAAAAGCTAATTCTGTCAAGAGCAGGTGAAATCTTATTTTCTACTGGCAAATCATTACAAAACAATAAACAAATAATATAAAAAAGGACTCAATAAAATCCTTTTAGTTCTATCCTTGGCTCAAACTTTGCAGTTTCGGGGCTCAGCATTTTAGTTCAACTCCATTGAGCTCTTTATTCTATTTATTAAAATGCTTTAATGGTATTTTGTCACTTTTTTTACTTGATGTCATGCACCGTCTCTGCAAGAAAAAAACTTTCAAAGCAGATTTTTCCTAAAACTGTAAGAACTCAAACTCCGCTTAGACTTGTGCCTTGTATAACATGACTTTGGATGATTCAGAACAAAATAAACTTCACTCGCCTGTGAGATTATTTCTCTAATCCGATGTGTTGTTTGAAGGATACTTCCAGTTGTGAATATTAAAATAAAAGCCCTTGGCTTTGTTCATTCAGAGGTTAAACACTATTTCAGTTAATTGCTATAATTTTTCCCATCAGTTATGTTGTATTTAAATCTCACATTTAAAACTCCACACTAATCAAAATAACATAAAAAAAAAAAAATAAGTTTCCCAGTCTTATAAAGATTTCAGCTCAGGCATGATACATTTGTGCATGTCTGATTATGCCAAAGTAGAACACTTCCTGTAAATGTTTATTTATTTATTAAGATTTATTTATTAAGATTTTACATTTTAATAAATAAATAAAAATACATTTACAGCATTTACAGCTTACTAGGATGTGATCTATGTTTAAATAGGCAACACAAGAAGGTCAAATGGACACTAACTCAGTGGGATGAGTGGGAGAATCTAGACTAAATGTTTTTTGTTTGTTTGTTTGTTTGTTTCAGGAGAAGAGAATTCACCAGGTTGGCTGTATGGAGAAGATGAAGGGAAGACAATAGTACCATTTTCATGTCCGCTGCTTGCCTGTCACATGCCTGTTTTTGCAACGAGGTCACCAGAGAGAAAGGTAGATTTCCTTTAACTCAATCAGTCAAGTAATGAAGTCACCACTCTATGCATATTTTTCAATATATGCTTTTAAAAAGAGTGAGAGACGCTGTAAAGAAAGAAAAATCATTTGGAAATTCAGTGTTAATTGTAAACATTACAGTTTTTTTCATATTATGCAGCCCTCTTACCGACCTTGGTGCACAGAAATGAAGGTGACTATATAATGCAAGTTTGTGTATCCTTACTTTTTGAACCCAAAGGTGGTAAACAAACCTCCAAAAAGCAATTTTGGAAGGGTGGCAAGACATCCATGTTTATTGAGGACAGTTAACATTAGCAAAATCTATCCTAGAAATGTTTTTATTTTAAGGTCTTAAGAACAAGCAAAAAATATTTCTCAAAATGACATTTTTAATTATAACAACAAATTCTGTGGCAGCTCCTAAAACAAAAAAGGATAAAACAGAAGTGAACAAACTTATTTGGTTTAATGGTGCTACACCAAAGTCTGTGACCCTGACACTTGATAAACACTAGTCTGCAGCCCATTAGTTATTTTCTTCACTGACACAGAGATGATCCAATCATACAATATCCTGAAAACATTTCCCCTCTGACAGGGTCACACATGTGAAAAAGAATTACACTATGGTGTGCTATAATAATAATCAATGAGCCCGGTAGTCATGGCGAGAGGAGGGACAACTAACTGCAACATATATATATATATATATATATATATATATATATATATATATATATATATATATATATATATATATATATATATATATACATATATATATATATATATATATATATACATATACATATATATATATATATATATATATATATATATATATATATATATATATATATAATCTGCAACAATACTTGAGTTATAAAATGGCTTTTTGTCCTTAACTCCTGAGTAATCTGATAACACATAAATAAGATCTTTAACAGTAAGTTAATGTTTTTACATTCAAATTATAATGTTAACTATTATGAATTGGGACAATATTTTAATTTTTTTAGCAAAAAAAAAAAAAAGGAGACATGACCAGGTCACTTCAACAACGCTTTAACTTTTAGTCTTATTAGGAGTTGAAGTTTATTCCATGCCTCTTTTTGCTACAAGGTCAGCAGAGAGAAAGTTACATTTTCTACCATGTAGTTGGTGGGTTGGTGTGGTCTCAGATGTCGGGCCTGATTTTCTGTCCCAGTCCACCCCTGAGTATGTGTGAATTGATTAACTACGTTTGCACTGAGCTGATCTTTGCAGTGAAAAGGTTTGTTTCGCCCAAGAAAACATTAGTAGTGTTGCCATCATTTACTGTGTCCGGATAAAATTCAGTTTAGGATCTTATTTGTTTTTTTAAAGAGAAGTACTGAAGTGCAAAACAAAAACAAGGGTAAATTAATCATCAAACAAAAGAAAAAGCAACACATGGGTAACTGCAGTATGAGTTAGAGAGAAGAATCGTAAAAGCATGGATAAAAAAAAAAATAAAATAGAAAAAAATCCTTGTAAACCGCTGCCTACAGTGTCAGCAACCATTTATTCAAATCTTTTATATAATAATTGAATGGTGACCTTCAGGTTGTATTTTCAGAGCTATTTATGAGTTGGTTGACTAATTCACCATAATGATTTGGTAATATAGGCTTTCAGGCTTTGTTGCATTTGTCTGTTTAGTTTACCGGTGTGGAATTTGTAAGGAAAAACAAAAAAAGTCATAGAGAAACTCTGAAAGAGGCAAAAACCCATGAACTGAAAAATGAGGGATAATCACCTGGTTTAATTTGCATTTAAACAGTTCAGATCGTAACCCAAAATAATACTAGTTATTTTGAGTTTTTGAAGTTGAATCTAGGAAGAATGATGGAAGATATGGCAAAAAGGAGGAAAAGAACAGAATAGAGTTGAAAAAAAAGGAGCGCAGAAGATGGTCAAGGCTGAATGCATGAATAAATGATACACCGCCCTTAGTACATAATTTCTACGAATATCGCCTTATTTCATGATAATCTTGGGAAATCCTAACACCACCGAGGAGCAAGATCTTCCTGTTGCTACACTTGATTTTCATTGCAGTCACAAAGTGTTGCTGCTTATGTAACTTTTTAACCGGTTATGTAAGAAACCATGAAACAACGGTAAAGGAACCATGGCAACCTGCTAATGTAAGCTTATGCTACAGTCTCTTTAGCATGCATATGCTCAAGTGAAATTGCTATACATACTCTGAAAAGCAAAAAAAAAGGTGTATGAAAATGGGGTTAGAATGAGCTTTGTCCCCAAGAAAAAAAAAGTTACAGAAGGGTGGAAAATGTACAATACCAGGTTAAGACTCCAATATCAACATGTACCTATATCACTATTGAGATAAAGTGAATAGGTTTGCCCTATAGCATTTCATCTGTACCAACGGATGTAACAAAGGAAGGATTGGGGAAATGGAAAAATGACAAAGACAGTATCAAAAGCAACTACAAGCTGGACATATGCAATAAAATATTTTATTGCAATAGTTAAAGGAGCTGCAGAGTTGAACTGATAGTAAAACTGTTGCATTCCAGCAAGAAGATCCTGGAGTTTTTCTAAATGGAGGTTGTATGCTCTGCCGCTGCATGTGTGGGCTTCCTTTTGGTACTAAGTTTGTGTGTTTTTTCATTCTGTTATTATTAGGTGTGTCAAAATTGTACCCTGCCTTTTGATAAATGATTATTAGGTCCAAGAACCCAAAATCACTTTACATCACACCCAGTCTTTCACCAATTGATGCACACTCACACACTTATGGTGGTGAGCTACATCTAAGCTGCTTCTGCCCTGGTGCAGACTGACAAAAGCAAGGCTGCATTACAAAGGCTGCCACTAGGCTGTCTGACTGATGTTAACTAAGCGGGATTCACCAATTAGTTCAGATTAGGTGTTTTTTTGTTTTCTTTTAAAGCTACAGTGTGTAATTTTCAGCGACATCTAACGTCCAGACTGCAGACCGCAACAACATGAACATCTCCCCCCCCACCGCTTCTCCCCCCCAACAGTACGGCGAGCGTTACGGGACAAAATGTCTTCCACGACGTCCGCATCACCTACCTTCTCAAGTGATGAGGTTTGTTTACATAGATAATTTTACAGATAGTATTTCATTAGTCTGTGTTCTCAGTTCATCTCTCTCAACTTGCCGTAGTTACTTTCGAGCGTAATGGGCGATCTCGCAATCGCTAGTTAGTTGGCTCTGCGCTGCCGTAGCGCAAAGATGTCTGCCTCCATGGCTGCGAGACCCGCTCCTATGTAATTATAAATAACGAATTCTAAGGCAACGCAAATATTAAGGTTAAGAGGCTGAGCTCGTAGATGATGATAAATAACATAGTTATGTATAATATATTACATTTCTGACTGTATATCCCTGTAATTATTACACACTGTAGCTTTAAGTATGCTCAAAACTGTACTGCATCAATGACTGATGTATGCATCAAACAGTCAGAGACAATATGACCTGTGTCCTTTTCTAAAAAAATATATTGCTGATAGGATACAGAAAAGGTCAGTAGTCATATTTGACACTACGACATGTAGACAATGAATTATTGTAGCTGTGTGGATTATGACCTTAAAACAACAAAGGTACAGTAAGCAAGAACTTATGTTTTTATATTCATGAAATGAGCCTCAATATTCCCCTTTAACTGCTGGTTCAGTGAGTTCCGCTTTATGAGGATCAATAGCTGCAATAATCAAAGAAAAATGCCATGGTGTAAATATTTTTACTGTAAGATTTCACAGTCATCATGAGCCATGACAACATTTTATTTAGTCTGAGATGGCTGGATCCAGCGTTGCTCTAATCACTGAATATACTTGCAGTGCAATGTGTGTCTTCAAGTCAGGATCAAAGGGATTTAGATTTTGTATTAGTAGAATTATTTTGTTTTTTATGAAATTACAGTCTCAAACTGGCTTCTATACAATTTGTCAATGCCTAACAAACCATTTCCTTTATTTTCAAATTATATTTAATCATTTATCTATCCAACAGAAGGGGAGCCTTGAGACCAAAACAAGTCTCAGATCTTAATGCCATGGTCTTGGTCTCAAGACCCCCCTTTCTGATGGGACATGGTTTGTACAGGAATGCAACCTACAGAAATGGAATTTAGTTGTCTTTTTGTTAAATGGATAGCCTCTAATATTTTTACCTACGTAGATGCCATATGTTATACTCTTAATTAGCTTACATTTAAGGAAGTCTTAGTTGGTGAAATGAAATAAAAAAAATGCAAAAAGATAAAATAAAATACCTTTTTAAGATAAAATGTCTGAAAGGTTGGAAACAGGCGAGAGTGTATCGGGAGATGGTGATGTAGAACAACAAGACCTCCCTCATCCTTGGCCCTATCTCAAAGAATTTTTCAAAATAGTCGAAAAATTTAGCTTAATTCATATAGTGGCATCTGGCTGCTTTTTTTAAAGGTTACTTTATACTTTTATACTTTAAGTAGTTTTTGGAGCACATACTTTTTCACCTTTACTTGAGTAAAGAGGTCAAGTTGATACTTCAACTTTTACCAGTGTTTTTAAACTGCAGTATCTATACTTCTACTTAAGTAACAAATGCGTGTACTTTTTTTCCCCTTGGTTTTGTCTGTGGAGTCATGTTGAGCTTGCTATTCATTTTAAGGTGAAGGAAGAAACCACCACCCACTGGAAGCCTAAAGCTCTTTAGATCTCAGGGGTAGTTTTTTTAGGCTTCATTCAAGGATTTTAAAATCTAAGCCACTGAGTTTCTTAAATCATCATATTCAGAGAGCATATTAATTTGTGAAGATGCTAATCTAAACTGAATTAAATTCAGGTCAACACCTAAATTTAAGATACTGTGATGGTTTCTTTTTACATTTTGCTGGAGGAAAAGTTTTTTTTTTCCTTCCATTTACTGCTTGTTACTGTACTATTAAGCTGGCTCTCCTTTTGTATTCAAAGCCCTCTTAATTCTA